ACACACTTTGCTGCTGCTAGAAAATGTGGCTTTTAATTTATGTACTAAAATTTAATTATAATAAAAAGTAACAGCATGGCTGATTTCAAAATACCAAGTGACTATTAATGTTTGTGATTTTTTTGTCAGGCTGGCAACACATTTAAAATCTTATGATGGCATACATGTTGTAATACTGAAATGTTGGGCGCCATTTGCACGATCACGAATCAAATGAAACAACTGTAACATTTGTCCACACGCAAATTTAAATTGACAACAATGAATCTTTTAAATCAAGCACCATATTCGATTGGTGGATTGGTACCACTGAATCGGCGACTATTTAGTCCTGCAAAAGTAACTGCCATCTTCTTACTGCCTTTTAGGCGCGTTCATGTCAAAATTGACAACTGTGAATTGCCAATTCAAAAATTGCTTCAATTATTAATAATCACCCGGTATTTTCACCATTTAATTTAATTTGGAATTTTGCTATATTAGTCAAGTAGATCTAAAATAGTAAAAAAAAAATAGTCGAAGCGCTTCCCTCGCCTCTGAAGTCCAGATATTTTGAAAAATTATAAATTTTGACTTTTAGAAAATTTATTTTTGATAACCTGTGTACATTTACAGATTCTTGCCTTGTTTTCTGAATTTATCAAATTATCTTACTGTATTCGTACCAATACTTCGCCAATGCTTTTGATTAGAACGCATTATGTACGAAAACACTTTGTTAACTTGTTTACATTTAGTTTGGGACGGAGTACGGGCAAATCGGGTGAATGATCAGACAGTTGCTCGAAAAGTATGAATGCAATAATAAAACGCAAGACCCTGGATGTTTCTAGTGAGTTTTTCCATTGGAAAATGTTCCGATTAACATTTCAACAAAGACACCTATGTCAATTCCGTCACGTGCAGTACACGTATAACACAAATAATAATAAAAAAATAGTCTGAAGTTACGAGTATTTAGACAGAACTGAAGTATTATAGTCCAACAAATCCCGCTTATTTAAAAATTATAAAACTTAATTATTCGTGATATATATAGCAAGAATCACTGTTAAAAACCCCATGAGCGCTTTGAAAGGGCGAACTTCGAGTTATAAATCGAGGACGTCGACTTGTACACTAGAGATAATTCCCGTCACACTTTAACATAAAAAGTTATTATACAATTTGAATTTTTTGCGAACATATGGATACGGAATAAAATTAAGGAGGACTCATAAACCACAAGTAGAGGATTATGTCATTTTATAAAATTTAAAAGACATTTACTATCAAAAAATTTAGCAATACTCGGTCCAGTAGCTTCGAAATTATCTGTCTAATAAAAATCGACACACAAGACGGATGTCCACAGACAGACAGAAACGGAAGACCTACTTTTTCATACTCCAGGGATCATGAAACGTCGATAAAACATTCATGGGCTGGACCCCGTACGAACTTTCATAGCTTACGCTCGGAAAATAAAAAAATAGGTGAAATTTATTTCGACAGAACTTCCCTCGTCCTGAAACAAATCCCGCTTCTTTGAACAATTATAAAATTTGAAAAGTGAGAACAATAGAAAATATATTTAAAAAAATTAACTCCTAGTAACTACATAGTTAATTTTGAGTATTTATGTTTATATAGGACATTACTGTAATTTTCGAGTAAATGGAGTGAACCGTTCTTGATTTGCTAAAAAAAAAATGTGACGACGATGCGAATGAGATTCGAACCTCACTAGCGTAGATCTTATTCGAACGCTTGGTTGGCGCCCCAGCCCAACCAGCTACAACGCAGTTTTTGTAAAATAATTATGATTAAAACTAAACACGAATTCGTAAACTACAGGTGTAGGAGTATACGATTTTGTAAATTTTAAAAAATATTTATTGTTAAAAATTTGAAAGAGATGGCATACCGTTTTTGGTGAGGATGATTAGACAAATTTTGGTTAGCGTTTAACCATCTGCATGATATTCCTAATATACATACAAAGTAGAGATGTACCGACTATAGTCGGCCGACTGTTCCGCTTTGCTAAAACCGGTTTATAAATGCAACAGACAGTGTGTTTTTTTTTATTTCTCTGACTACCTTAAAAACTTGTTTTATTTTAATAAAAGGAATAACTAAAGTTTCTTTGTTTTCCAAAAAATGTGTTAAATTTGTTTGGATAATTTTAACATTTAATTTTTTGCAGTAACTCAGTACAAAAATAAAGAATAACACAATTTAGGGCAGTTTATACAATACTTAACCAATTTTAACCACTTTTTTAGAAAATTTTTGGAAATTTTGAATTCGCTTTGCGTGTTTATTGGACCAGATATCGTGACGGCGATTTCAGAATCGTAACTAGCGGAAGATTATCTACACTTTAACACCAATTTTCGGTCGATTAAACCCATTTTAACCGGTTTTGGCAAAGCCGACTAGTCGGCCGACTATAGTCGGTACATCTCTAATACAAAGTTTGACAACAATCGGTTCGGTAGTTTCGAAGATTACGTGTCTAATAAAAATGGATACAGACACCAGACAGACAGACAGACAGACGGAAACGGGAGACTACTTTTTTCGTGCTATAGAGGTCATGAAACGTCGAGAAAGCATAAAAGTGGCCGATAGTCCGATGGACTCGATTACTATACTTCCTTAGTTTCCTCTCGGCAAGTAAAAATATAGGTAAATTATATGAATCGTTTATTAGAAAATTGAAAACAAAAACGATTGGTACATTTGTGTTTTTTTTTATATTTTCTGTAAAACGTATCAAACGATCACAAAAGTAAATAGTTGCCAATTTGTTAAGATGACGCCATGAAACCATAAAATATAATTTCTCAAATTCTCATTATTTTTTTGAACAACTCCTTTACGTTATAATAAATGTAAAAATGGATTACTTAACCAAAAACAATAAATTGGTCTAAGGTTTTTGCCACAGAACCTCCCTCGCCCATAAAGTACAGTACAACAAACCCACCTTCTTCAAATTTTATGATAACCCGTATAAGTTAAAAAAATATAACTAGTGCTTCTCACAATGTAAGAAAAAAAGTGTCCATTGGCGACGAAATTGAACTTCCTTAAGAAAACATGAAAGTAACCATTCGCCGGATGGATCTTATTACAATACTTAGCTTACAAGCTCGGGAAGTAAAAGTATGTTACAAATTTCAAATGAGATTTTTCTAATAAAATTTTGAGGAAACATCAACAATCTTTTTGGATAGAATAGACACAAGTTTTGTTTAGTGATTTACCCGTTTTACCATTTCAAAAAAGTTGATCGAAAATTATTTCGACTTCCCTTGCTCCTGAAGTACAGTACAGTTTATCCAATTTTTTCCAGAATTTATAAAATTTGATTTTGCATTTTTTTCATTATAAAATCTTCTGATGATATCATCAATAATATAGCAAGGACACGTATAACAATTTGGATAGATGAAGTACATACTCACAGTAACAATGCTATATTCCCAAATTTTTGGAAAACTGGGGAAGCTATTCTTGATTTAATTAATAAAATAAACTGCCTCATTCATTAATTTTGTTGAGTCATTTTTGTCACTCACAGCAACTATACACATCGAAATATCAAAGAAAACAGTGAAGTGCGGCTCCTCTGCTATCTAGGACTTAATTTTGCATTGATACAAACACATTTTCGAAGAAACCATTCACTCACAACAGGAAACGGAGATGAGCGAGGGTTATAATTTACGATTGGTTCGGCATGTTTGCCTAATTTTTTAATGCAAAAATATATCTTTTAGCATTTGTAACTAAAGAGAAAACGAGATTTCCTTAACATAAAGAAAAAAATAAATAATTAGAGTCACAGTTTAAGATAAAGAAAGCATCCACTCAGTCAGCGCTTCGAAGCGGATTCGTATACCCCAGGTATACATAATTCTACATGATATTACTAAAACAAATAAAGTTTGACAACATTCGATCCAACAGTTTCGGATATTATATACAGCCTGTTATTGAAAGGTACGTACAAAATAAAATCGGCAATTTGTCTCGAAGTATGGGTGCTAAAAGTTAAAAAAAGGTCAGGTAAAAGTGTTCTCCTTTTAGAGATAAAAAATATTAAAATTTCTGTCCAAATTCGTTGTACGCCTCTGATAAAAAGATCATCTTTCGTTTCTATAGCAACATTTAGTCTTGACAAAAGTTCTATTGTTACAGTTGCTAGGATTTACTAAAATAAATTAATTTTACCTATTTATCCTTCAGTAGCGTCTAAAAAGGTTGGATAAGGGTTAATTTTCCCCTTATAATTTTGATAACACAAAATAAGTTTTCCCGACTTCTTAGACTTCGTGAAGAACTGTCCATTTTGTTGTACGTACCTTTCAATAACACCCTGTATCTACTAAAAATCGACGCAGACCATCAACGGATGGAAATAGGAGACTTATTTTTTCATACTCTAGGGATCGTGAAATGTCGAGAGAAAACATTAAAGTCTAGAGACTGTCCACGTTAGTGACCAGTTCTATTACTTTTATCAGTATCTATATTAAAAAAAAAAACTACTTTCAAAAGTCTTCGTCCAGAAATCTTTTGCAGTAGTTTTGGTTCAATTGGGATCTATGAACCAGCTCGATGTTGTACTTTTAAAATTCAATAACACGTCTAAAAACAAAATTCCAAGATCATTGTCTAGGTTTTAGGATGCTATTTTGACGTAATTTATAAAAACGCCAAATGTGCATTTCAAGAAAATACTAAAAAGTTTGGGACTGTTGGAAAGGGGATTCTCTGCCTAAAACTTGAATATTTATCTTCATTTTCAAAGTCACCACAGCCGAATTTATTTTGTCAATATTATATGTCTACAAAAAAGACATAAATGACTTCCACTTTATTCATCCAGTATTTTAAAAATAAATGATACGTTTCGGAGCTTCAACATTCCTTCCGGTGTAAATATTTACAGCTCATTCAGTAAGATTCTCATTTACGTATGTAAATAAATGCTATTTTTTTGACAGATGCATGCACGGAAGGTTATAGTAGTGCTGGTCTACATTCTCACAGTGTTAGTTTCCTTGGCAGTAGCGAAAAGGTATTCATCAGAAAAACGAGTGCAAAGTAAGTAAATCCGCTGTAAACACACGACGTGGTAGAAAAATCCTATTCTCCCGTATTTAGATCTATCGACATTCAAGACCATGATGCGGTATGGCAGAGCAGGCCCCACCTCCAACCAAAAGGAGAACAAAGTCAACATCCACCCCAGAGCTGACGCCTTCTTCCTTGGACCCAGGTATGTAATTATGAAAGTTTGATGAGAAGCGATTTTTGTTGTACTATTTGCTCAACGAATTCGTTTAATAATTTGTGTTTACTTGCTGGAATTAATTTATTAATAATTGTGTGTGTAACGCTAGCAAGTTCAGGAACGCATGTTTGCACCTTGTAAAATTACCAGCCGCGAGGTGTACAAAAAAGCTCATCAAGACAATGCTTCCGGTACTCCTCAGTGCGAGCTTTTGTGTCTAATGCTACATTATTCATACCGGCAAAGGAATGATTTTATGCATGGCTGAGGGATCAGGAGAAAGCTCGCTGAAATGAGTGATTAAAAAATGTTCGCCGCGCACATGGCTCCCAATAAGAGAATATGTCTCAAGTGGTTGCAATGTGATCATTACTTTCAGTCCTTTGAAAGTCCTCGTTCATTTTTTTAATGGAAATAAGCGCATTATGTATTTCAAAATATATATTATACGGTAATGATTCATTATGAAAGTGCATCCAGTGTGATATGTACGAGGAACAAATAATACTACAATCGTTGCTTCTACAAGCATATATTTTTAATATTAACCATGACTTAACAAAAATAATTACTTATTCTAGATACGGCAAGAGATCGAGTTGGAGCCCTAATGCGTCGTTGGTTTATCCTGTCTCTTCCACCCCACTCTGTGGTTTAGATGAGGATTTATCCTGTGCTTACACCGGCATCTCAGACTTGTATCGATGCACTCCGAGGTAAGATTATAAAAAATTCATTGTGTATTAACTTACACGAAATTTACATGCAGAAACTGTAGTCATGTTATGAAAAATTTCGAATTTTCTTCATTGTGGTCGTGCTGTCAAATTTTTAATTTTCGGAACGCCAAATGAATATCCTTGTGTTGTTACACACGATTCTGGTCTGTCATGTTCAGTGGCAAATCCTTTTTTTTTGTATGTCATGTTGATTTCTCAAAGTTTAAAGCAAACAAAAAATTCTAAAATTTACAAAAGGGTTTTTTTCTTTTGTGCCGGTTTACCGAGGTCGCATTTAAAGAGAATAAAGGGCAATCTGACGTTTCACACTTCATTTGAATTTATTGATAAAAAACACGCAAAAGTGAATTTGCTTTATGTTTCCGCGGAATTAGTTTAATGGTAAAGCGAAAATTGTTGACCTTTTTTTATTTAGTGTTTAATTATCACTTTATTATTAAGCAATCTCATTAAAATTCAAAAAGCTATAGTTAAATGTTTTGACTAGTAAGAGGTGTTTTTATATATTAATTCAAATTCAGTTTTTTCATTGTAAGACAACAAAAAAAAACACAAAAGATTTGTGGCGCTGGATATGTTATAATAGGCGAATTAAACATTTAATTTGAACAGACATTTATTAATGTGTGATTATTCCCTAAATCTTAGCTGGTTGAATTTGACCATGTGATTAATTGCATCTCTGTAAACCGAGTCTTAACTAGTTAAAATAATCTATCATTGATAATAATTTTTTTTTCCCAAAAAAATTCGTATTTTTTCGCACAGCTAACGTAAATTTGTGTATAGAAAATGAAGAGCGGGCGGGCGGGGCTAATACTTACTAAGATAAAACTGATATTGCCAAATGGCAAATCTTCGATGAAAATAAAGGGTGGGTGGGAGGGGCCAATACCTGTCGATATAAGATTGATTTTGCCAAATGATATACCCTCTACCATTTATTTTCTGAGATGAGAAGGTATGTTACTTGGCAAAAGCAGTCTTACCTTGACAAGTATTGGCCCCACCCACCCACCCTTTATTTTCTTCGAGGGTCTGTCATTTAGGAAACTCAGTCTTATCTTAGTAAGTACCAGTCCAGTCCACTCGCCTTCTCTAAAATTTATCCTCTTGAAGTTCGGTGATGCAAATTAATTCTACATTCTTATATCTATCCTGACGTGAAAAGTTACATACCTATCATAGAAAAATCTAAAATAAAAAAAACAAAAATTATAAAATTCGAAGTCGGAAAATTGAAAGCTGGAAAGTTGTAAATTGAAAAACTGCAAATTTTCACATTGAAAAAAAAAATTATAAAATTAGAACCTCGAAAAAAAACCGAATACCTGAAACAAAAAATTGCAGAATTTAAAAATTGAAACATCGCACAGTCAAAAAATCAACCGGAAAGTCGAAAAGCGGAAAGTCGAAAAATTGAATAGTCGCAAAATCGAATATTTCGAAAAATCGAAGAGTCGAAATCTCGATCGGAAAGTCAAAAAATCGGAAACTTGGTTGGATCGAAAGGTCGGAAAATCAGGAAATGAAAGAGTCGAAAAGGCGAAAAATCGAAAAGCGTAAAATTGGGAAAGTCGTAAAATCGAAACGTCGGAAAGTAAAAAATTTAATTTGATCGAAAATTCGAAAAATCTGAAATTGAAGAATTAAAGATGTAATTAAAATTTCATGTTAAAAAAAATAATAAAATCACAACAATTATAAAATTAGAACCTCGAAAAAAAAACCGAATACCCGAAACAAAAAACTGCAGAATTTAAAAATTGAAACATCGCACAGTCAAAAAATCAATCGGAAAGTCGAAAAACGGAAAGTCGAAAAATTGAAAAGTCGCAAAATCGAATATTTCGAAAAATCGAAGAGTCGAAATCTCGATCGGAAAGTCAAAAAATCGGAAACTTGGTTGGATCGAAAGGTCGGAAAATCAGGAAATGAAAAAGTCGAAAAGGCGAAAAATCGAAAAGCGCAAAATTGGGAAAGTCGTAAAATCGAAACGTCGGAAAGTAAAAAATTTAATTTGATCGAAAACTCGAAAAATCTGAAATTGAAGAATTAAATATGTGATTAAAATTTCATGTTAAAAAAATATATAAAATCACAACACTGACAAACCGAAAAATTGAAAAAATAAAAAAAATTAAATTCCAAAATGAAAAATCGCAAAATCCACAAACTAAAACAAATTAAATTTTCAATTTTTCGAGTTTCCCACTGGTTTTGCGACTTTTCGATGTTTCGATTTGTCGATTTTTTGATTTCTTGATTTTTCGACTTGGACCAAATGACATTTTCGACTTTTTGGCTGCGATTTTTCAACTTTTCGTTTGATTTTTCGACTTTGCAATGTTTCGACTTTACGATTTTTTCGACTTTCCTTTCTCTCGGCTTTTTTATTTGTCAATGTTTCCATTTTTCGATTTTTCAGTTTCTCAATTTTTAATTTTTCAATTTTTCGTTTCCTCGATTTTTCAAGTTCTTAATTTTTATTTTTCGTTTCTTTACAAGTACACGCCCACCCGCCCTTTATTTTCCTAGTGAGTAAATTATCTGCCAAAATCACTCTTATTTTGGCAAGTACTAGCCCCCCCTTCCGTGCTTTATTTTTTTAGGTGTGTCATTTGGCAAAATGAGTCCTATCTTAACAAATACTAGCCCCGCCCACCCGCCCTTTATTTTTTTAAAGAGTAGGTCATCTGCCAAAATCAGTCTTATCCATACAAAGAAGATAATTTTATAACAAATAAGGCCGACACACATCAAAAATGGTAAAAACCCACCTATATTTTACCATACAGTGTAGATTTTAAGAACACAGCATTCTTACTACCGTTTCCAATACAATAAATTTTTCAAAATTTATATCTGTATACTTTCATACCACTTAATTGAGTTGAATTTGGTTATTGTTTAAAATATAACTTTATTTAAAAATAACTGTTTAAGAGCTTTAGAGTGTTGAAAAATTTCCTCAAAGTCAAAAAGCTTGAAAGTTTCATGCAAACTAACTGTAATTTAAGGACTTGAATCATATTTGTCCTAAAAACCCTTGAAATGAGAAAGTTGCATTTTTCATGAATTCAAAAAACGGAACTTTTTGTTAAAATTAAAGGGTTTTTAATTTGGACAATTAAACTTAAAACTGTGATAAAGGATTTGTCAAAAGACGATACTACCAAAATAAAATTTCTAAAATTAAAACAGTGGAACTTAGTACGTCTACAAAAATTGGTGGAGTAAGGTTCCAAAAGAATTCTATTTGGAAAAAAGAAGGATAAGCTTGACATTGAAGAAAGAATATAATAGCTGACAAAAAAGGTTCTAGAAAAATGTTACTTTTGAAGGAATTTTAAGCCCTAACCTGGCTAATAAGATTCTACAAGAATTCTATTTAGAAAATAGAAGGACCAGAAGAATTCCGTTGTATAACTACAAGGTTGACATTGAAGAAAAAATATCATGAATGCCAAGTAATAAAGGTTCCAGAAGAATGCTATGACTGAATACAGAGAGATACAAAAATTTCGAGACATAACTGAACAAGGTTATAGAAGAATCATAATCTAGGAAAGATTCAGACGAATTCCTTTCCCAGTACGAGGTTGAACCTGAAGAAGAATATAACAGATGGCACTTAAAAAACACGAAAGCACGTAGGAGTCCTAAACTGGATAATAACGTTCCACAAGAATTCCGTTGCCAGCACAAGGTTGACAATGAAGAAAGAATACCACGAATGACATTTCATAAATAATCTAGAACAATGCTATTATTAAATACGGCTGGAACAAGAATTTCTAGACGTAACTGACCAAGGTTGTAGAAGAATCATAATCTGAAGAGGAAAGATCCAGAAGAATTCCCTTTCCAGTACAAGGTAGAAGTTAAAGAAAGAATGTTATACATGACACTTAAAAATGCTACTTTTAAACACAAACGAAAGCACGCAGCAGTTTTGAGCCCTAAACTAGACAATAAGCTTCTAGAAGAATTTTGAAAATAGAAGAACCAGAAGAATTTCATTGGGAGTACAAGGTTGACATTGAAGAAAGAATGTCATGCATGACATTTAATAAAGGTTCTCGATGAATGCTATTACTAAAAACAGAGGTACACAAACATTTCGAGACATGACTGAATAAGGTTGTAGAAGAATTGATATGAAGAGGGAAGATCCAAAAGAATTCAGTTTCCAGTACAAGGTTGAAATTGAAGAGAAAATATGACACCTAAAATGTTCTACAAAAATGCCACTTTCAACTACGAAAGCACACAAGAGTTTTTAGTCCTAAACTGGACAATAAGGTTCTATAAAAATTCTATTTTGAAAATAGACAGACCAGGAGAATTTCGTTGGCAGTACAAAGTTAACAATAAAGAAAGACTATCATGAATGATATTTAATAAAGATTCTAGAAAAATGATGCTATCACTAAATACAGAAGGACACAAGAATTTCGAGACGTAACTCACCAAGGTTGTACAAGAATCCTGATCTGAAGAGGAAAGATACAGAAGAATTCCGTTTCCAATACAACGTAGAAATTGGAGACATAATATTACACATGACACTTTAAAATGCTCTAGAAAAATGCTACTTTTAAACATACACGAAAGCACGCAGGAGTTTTGGGTCCTAAACTAGACAATAAAGTTATAGAAGAATTTTGAAAATGGAAGAACCACAAGAATTTCTTTCGTAATACAAGGTTGGCATTGAAGAAAGAATGCCATGTATGATATTTAATAAAGATTCTAGAAGAATGCTATTACTAAATACAGAGGGACACAAAAATTTCGAGGCATGACTGAAAAAGGTTGTAGAAGAACTGATACTAAGAGAGAAGATCCAGAAGAATTCCGTTTCCAGTACAAGGTTGAACCTGAAGAAAGAATAATATATGACACTTAAAATGTTCTAGAAAAATGCTACTTTCAACCACGAAAGCACGCAAGAGTTTTTGGCCCTAAACTGA